AAAAAAAGGTTCCATTTGGTTGAGAGCAACGGAATGGACATCGATCAACTGACACGGAATGCCAAAATGACCTGGAGATCGATCTGTTCCAGTGATATCGATACCCTAGACTCTAGTCCTCAGGTAGACACACAAGAAAAACTCGGTTGGTACTCTCTCCCTTATCCAAAGGATCATGGACCAGTCCATGGAGTGCTACTAGGAGCAAGGACGCTACTAGGGGCTCCTGGCCTTACTACTAGGAACAAGAACGCTACTAGGGGCTCCTGGCATCGCTACTAGGAGCAAGAGGCTACTAGGGGCTCCTGGCCTTACTACTAGGAACAAGAATGCTACTATTTGGGCTCCATGTCGCCCGCGGCCTTGGAGGTGAGAAACCTCGCTTGCGATCCCCCTGCGTTGGTTTGGATGAACTTGGGCACCTGAACAGCGACGGAGTCTACGGCCGGTCGTAGTCTAAGGCGGTGTTGGACTTCTCCAACAAGTGTCATGTTCAAAATGCATGTGTGAATCTAAATGGGAACGGATTGATCAAAGCCAACATTCAGACTCCTCAGTACTATCAAACCCATCAAGAAAGAAGCGAAGCAGCAACATGGATGTTCATCTCGTAGGTCAACCGTTCAACCCATCTAGGATTCTGTAGGATTCTGACTGGGAAGCGGTCTGCGAGGATGTGCTTGGCATCCTCTGCAGGCGCAGTGAGAAGTGCCTGCCGTGCTTGTGCGGGACAAATGGTCAGGCTTGTGGCGTCAAAGGACCTGGACATGGACGGGTGATGACCGATGACGAAATTCATTCACCCCATGCGGCCTTCCTAATTACAGGTGGCTCTTCTTCTTTAACTGGACCATTCTTTCACCAACTGAATGGCTCTCAAAACCTGATCGTGGGACCCAAGTCAGGTGAGGGCACATCTTCGAACTGGACATCGAAGACATCTAGACGATGTCTGCGAGCCGACGCGAGTCGATGACGCTCCTCCACTTCGGGTGATACAAACGAAATGCGTCCTGGTCCACCGTCCTCCTGGTCCTTCATCAGTTCTCAAACAATACGTCACCGAGAACTATGGACCCGACAGAAGCGAGAATATGGATGATGGTTCGTGCTAGTACTAGAGGTTGCTGACTAGCCATGGAAACAAATTCTCCCCTCCCTGGTGCACTCGAGGTGTCTGATCGAAATGATAGAATGAAATCATCTCATCTGTCCAAATTCCGATTCTTTCAATTGTCATCACTTCCTCAGTCAGCACCAGTGGGCACAGTGCCAACCCACAAACCTTGGCTGCACGTGCCTTGAAATTTGCATACTCATCCTTCTCCTGCGGTCACATCCGGTGTCAATTTCTCACGGTGTCAAACACAGCGACTTCTCGGCCTGGTAGCCCGCATCATACCATGCCTGGATCATCTCACCTGAGTCGAACAAAAGACCGGTCGAGGGGAGCAAATCATGGCTTCACATCCCAACAAGCTCTCCATAAATACATATATATATAATATTACATAATCATATGTCGTATGAGCGTCCTTCCTCTGCCCCACTTGCCTCCCTTTCTTGGCCGGACCTTTGCTGGCCGGAAGGGACCCTTTGGTCGACCCGCCGATTTGGCCACGGGGCCACGCCAGATCACCACGTGAAAAAAAGGCATCGAGAAGCAAAATCACGTTGGGCCTCAGGGAAGCCGAAGGCAGGACTTCAACAGCTGAAGGCAGTCGAAGAATCGCCTGCTTTCTTCGTCAAGTAATCCATGTCTTCTTTCTTTTTCGGTGGTCACTTCTGAGCGCAGGAAGGCAACAAAAAGAAGTGTGGAAACCGAATTCAGTCTGTTTTCATGATTCGTGACATGACAGAAATGTTGCACCTGGCACTGCAGCAGGAAGAAAGACTTAGATGGCTGTGAGTCAAAGACCTAATTACCTGGAAGGTCGTTCGCTACATGGTGGACCAGGGCTCCTGGTGTTGGCCTATCCCCATATGACTCTTCTGGACCTGCTCGAGCAGCACCCCAGGCGATTTGCACCATTTTATTGCTTCTCTGGCGCCAACTGATCCGCAGTTCTCACGATCTGCCGATCTGCCAATCTCCGTCAGGCCATGCGGTAGAAATTCCTCGCTCAACCACTGAACTTTGAGTGGTTCACCATGCCTTCATCGATCGAACCACTTGACTCCGGCGGAGTCGCACCACTTAGCTGGTTGTCCTTGGACCACCAAGCACAAGCGTGGTTCCAGCAAAAAACCCACCAAACAGCTCTCGAGCCAAGTCCCAAATTCTTGAAAAAGCTGACATGGTTTGAGTTTACAAAGTCCGGCTGTATTGCTCAATGTCCCCACCGCAAGCATTCAAAGTCATAAAAAGAGCTCAAGCACAATGTCTTCATTTCACTTTCTACAAATTCTGGCGACACGGCCTTCCCAATCTTGCTCTCTTCCAAGGTGCTTGTTCTCCAGCTGGCCTGTGCGGGCTGCCACCACCCACTCTGTGAGCCAGCTCAAACCATCTGGATCTTCCCTGACAGGCAGCTGTGGCTATGTCTCAGATACATACCCACCAATGATGGACGTGTCCCATTGGCATGGGTATTTGGATGGCCACAAGATCAATTGACCATGGCCGCATCAGTATCCCACAAACCACACTAGACGTGCGAGGAGGAACGGTGCCGGAGAATGTGGCTTTTGAGCTGGAGAGTGCATTTAAAGCCACTCCAGAATGCAGGCTCATTTCGATCTAAATAGTATCTTGTTTGTCAAAATGCATCTGTATGATTCATTATGCTCATGGGATGTTCTACCACAAGCAGGGGGTCATCTGGCTTTGGGAGGCCTCCTTGAGCCCTTAGAGCCCATCTTGACTTGGGCGTGGAGGCACCTCTTGGCCTTCTTCCAGTCTCCAGTGCGTGCCGCACCATCCAGGCACATGTAGCTGCCATTGGGCAGCAGCCCTTGGTCGTCGAGGTATGGCCTGAGGGATGAGTGCAGGGCTTCAGAGACCAACAAATGGGGTAACATGGTACTCCCAGGAAGGGGGGGATCATCACAAAGTGAAGCTGCCAAAAAGCCAAACATCCAACGTCCGAGCGTCATCTCTGTGGCGCTGTCAACGCCAACCTCCTCTTCCTCTGCCTCAGTGGCGCAAGGGATCGCATTCAAATAAACATCATTGAGAAGTACAAAGGACGCTACTAGGAACAAGGGCATCGCTAAAGAGCAAGGACGCTACTAGGGGCTCCTGGCCTACTACTAGGAGCAAGGACGCTACTAGGGGCTGCTGGCCTTACAGAGCACAACGTCGGGGCCCCCAGAGCTTGAACTGTGCATGCCAACCCCTTGCCGGTCCTGGTCAGTCTCCTTTGTTCAGCATCCTCTTCAACGGGAATGAATAAACTGGAATGAGTCTTGGTAGCTCATTTGGGTGTCTCATGGCCGGGGCTCATGGCCGGGGCCGCTGGCCATGGGGGTTTCCCAGCGATGGGCTGCATTTTCTAGCCTAAACACAGATAGCTTAAGGCTAGAAAATGCTCAAAAATATTCAAAAAAAAACGTGTTGTCCACTACAAAATCCTGATATTTGAAAGTTCCCATCATCTTCCATCTACTTTTCGTGACATTGTCCCGTGCTCAGTGGACTTGTCGAGGGGCCCCGACCTGGTTCACATTCACAGTCCAAGGAACGTCGGCCGTGTCATCTTCAGCCAGGCGCTGGATCAGCACGCTCTGCGCGTTGGGGAAGGCAGAATGCATGCGACGTGAGGAACATCTCACATGGTGATCAAGATGACTTCCTTGCCGGATCAACCTGATGTCGTCTTGAATCCCATGAACCAACGGTTCTGGCAACGCTCTGACGCTCTGGCAACGTTTCTGGCTGGGTTGGACCTGTCTCTACAGACAGGCCCTTGGTCACTGTCGTCAGCTAAGAGGTCACGGAAAGCCCAACTCCCAAAGCCCACCTTGCGTCCTGTCACGGTAAGGCCACGGCTTTTTTAACTCCGCCTGCGGACAGGGGCTTAGTAGTCACGGGACCGAGGAAACCTTCATAGAGACGTCGAGCGATCGTCCACGAGGAGGCTTTTTGGCCTTGCAGTGAGGCAATGTACACACCCAAAGTACTCAAATGCTGGAAATCAAATCTTCGAAGGATCGGATGAGCCAACGACCCGGGTGGGCGGAACTGAAAAGTGGTTCCTGCACTGCGGAGCCTTCAGATCCTGCACGGTCATCGACTCATAGCCAGCCCTCAGCCTGCCGTCTCAAGACGGATGATGTCTGAAAGCAGAGTTGATGAGCGGGAGGCCGTCGCTCTTAGTTATATGGGTTCGAGGTCATCGCTCTCAGGTTGGAGGCCATGAATCTTAGGTTGGAGGCATTACAATTAGGTTGGAGGCCATCACTCTTAGCCTTGACTCTTGACACAAAAAAACGTTACAACGTTGACGCGATCCATGGGAGTCGTTGACGTCGTTGGCTTGACTTTCTTCTGGGCCCAACAGAACTTGTCAACGACCCGACATGGAAGCTGGACCGAGTGGCTTTCGGATGTCCTACAGGACCAAGTTTGCAGGCTTCCAACCCTTGCTTCAAGCCGGGGCTTTAGTTGGACCCCCCATCTTGCCGGACACCTGACATGATGCACTGTTCTGTGGCGGCAGCGCGTGACGGAGGGCGTCACGAAGGTGATGCAAAGCTCCTCGCCAAGTTTCTCGTGTCCATCAGAGGTGAATTTATATACAGTACATGTGTATGTGCGAATATGTGTATATACATATATATATATATGTGTACAAATACATATTTATTTAACAACTCGCTCTTCCAAGCACTGCCTTTTTCCTCCAACATGAACGTGCACAGGGTGGAGCTTTTCCACCTATCCAACTCCACTTCTTCCCATGCGCCCCAAGTCTTCCTTCAGCAGGAGGGGGTACCAAGCCGTTGGCACAATGCCCAACCTCAGGAAACGCTGCACTGTAGCAAAAACAACAGGGAATATGTGAGCAAAATTCATGACAAGCTCCTTCGAAGAGGGAGGTATACGCTTCAGATACAACAAAGATGCAGTCTCCTGCACATAAATCTCCATAATCTTTGCTGACAACCACCTCCCCTTTCGTCTGGTGTACTCACCATCTTCTGTTGTTTGGAGGTGCCACGTGGCACCTCCCAACCTGAGACTTCCTGGGTCTAGCGCCTTCATGTCGCCAAGCTTTTGGGTCGGAAGCTTCAGTGCAGTCAACACGTCCCTGAATCTGGTACGAAAGGTCTGACCAGACCAAGGCCACAACTTTGCACTGGGAGGCAAATTCCCAAAACAGAAGTTCACCACTTCCAACAAATCTGGCGCATCCAGTTTAGCCGCTTGATGTCGAGCTCCCGTTCTTCTTGTTTTAGGCTCCTTTATGGCCAGTAGACCAAAAGCAATCGTGAAATCAACATCCTTTGGCAAAAGAAGGTCGGCTCTGCTTGAAACAAAGATCTCGCCAGGTCTAAGTAGGGCTCCCCAGCAATACTTGCCAGGGCACGGCAACGTGGTGCGAGCCAGGCTCTGCATGGAGCCAGGAAAAGGCGACATCCCATGCCCCTTGTAACAAGCGTCTTATGGCCGGCTTCTTTGTCGTCAAGGCGTTAAGAGTTTCAGCACATTGGTTATACGGTTTACCAGCGTTGTATAAAGCTCTACCAAGTCTTGACATGACAGCGTTGATATCATCAATGCATTCGACATGGTGATGAAGCAAGCTTTCAAAATCAATACCTTCAACAACCAACCACTGCTCGAACTGAGTCCAGTACCGATCTCTCAAGCGTCCCGTGATGGGCAGCGTAGGTCTGCCTTCTTGCAGCGGTTCAGCCGCGCTTCGTTCAGCAGCCCTCAAAAAGTGGATCGATACATGGCTGCACAACCTAACGGGCCGGCCCCAGCAAGCACCCAAGCAAGGAGCAGCAAAGTCCACGAGGGGAGACGGAGGAGCTGACAGAGGCCCAGCCACACACGACGAAGCAGCGAAGCAAGCCAAAAGGAAAGCAGCAATGCTTGGAAGCCAAAATGCTGTTAGGCAACAGCTTGGATGTGGTGCATGAAGAGGTCCTTCTCCTGGATAGCCCAATGAGGAGTGAAAATCACGGGGCGCGTACACAAAGTCAGGGCAGCTGAGGTCATAGGCGGAAGATCCCTTCTCTAGGTAGTCGATGCCGAAAGGTGGTTCTATCGTTGAACTCGGTCAACCTCGGGCCCACCATAAAAAGCAGAAGCCTGATCCAATTCGACGCCCACCTCCTTGTAGGGGGTATACAGGCAATCTTCCAGAGCTCGCGATAGGAGAGCTGGTGCCAGCCAAGACCAGGTACTGGAGGTCTGAGTGCCTTGTCTGTGGTGGGATCATCTGCGCAATTCGACCTCGTAGGGCAGAAGGGCGTGACCATGTAGAGCCCAAAAGCGACCATCACTGCAGAAATCCTTCGGAGCACCGCAGACAAAGCCAAGGACGCAGATCTGCCCTTGCCAAGTGCACAACGGGTGACATTGGAGTCAACAAAGTTCACGAACCTAGAAGGCCCAGCTTTTGCTCGATCCTCCGCCAACCTTTCGACTGATTTCAGCTCCAGCAAATTGATATGCGACGGCCTTTTGAACTTCCAAGACTTCCTGACCTCGCAGGAGTTAGAGAGCATCACTTCATTCACCAACTGATTCTCAAGTCCAGCAACTCGCAGCTCATCCTCCTCCTCTCTACGGTACTTGATGACCTTGATGGCATGATGAATGGCCCAAGCTAGGGCTGCTGCCAGTTCAGGAGTGTAAATGGCGGAGGCTTTGGTGTAGACACCTGCAATAGGCACATGGCTGCATTTGCCTTGACAGCGGCGTGCAATGCTCTTCATATCAACATCTGCCACCAGGAAGGCGAAAGACTTTTGGTGAATGGAGCCGTACTGGCATGAATCAATCCTCACCTCATCAACTCCTGGCCACTGCAGTGCGGCTTGGTAGCTTGGAAGAAACTTGCTCAATGCACTAAAGGGCCTCTCCAGAAGTCCAGCGATGTGATGAATTGCTGCCTTCTTCAAAAGCTGCAAAGCACGGAGGAATAGGAGATTGCCAAGCCTGGTCTTAGGTTCATCTGTATCAAATCCCAAAGGAACCCTTCTACTCCTCAGGGCTACGTCGCGCAAGGAGGCTCCAATGCTATAGCAAGCAATCTGCCCTCCTCGATGAGGTGAAAGAGCCAGGAGAGAACATGGACTCCCTCGAAAATGGAGATGTCCAAAGGTGGCCCCACATTGACACCAAGCTCACTCATAGCAGCTGAGATTCTGCTAGACCCCGCAAAGACTTCGATGAACTCAAATCTAAAAGCGACAGGTCTCTGAATACCCGGTGGTCGACTGTCTCCACTTTCATCGTCAAGGCCTTCAGCCGTGATTGGAAACGGATGCACATCATTGCTGTCCTTGCTAAGTCGAGTGTAGGCTCCTTTCGTCCTGCAGATCTTGGAGAGCATGAAGGCGATATCACTACCGAGGAAGGAGGAGCAGATTGCCCCCCTGCTCTCGGATGCATCTGTGGCATAGACCATGTCCTCAAAGCCCACTGCAATGTCGCTCAACATTAAAGGGGCCAGGACAGCGCACATCACAAGTTCTTCAGCAACTTTCCTCGACAAAGGCACCAAGGCTCCTTCATCAATATCCGAAAAGCGCTCGTTCACGACAAAAGCTTCATTCAGCAGATTCATCATCGGCCTCCGATACAATAGCATCGAAACCCAAGCCCCGACAACGCAGCGATGAAGTGAGACTGTGGTGTACGGAAGAGCACAAGCCTGCAGCGTCAGAAAGGACAGGGCAAGCCGTTTCTGGGCCGGGGCACCAACTGTGCAAACTCCTTGCGCAACAGTTTGTGGACCACCATTGAGGTAGGCTCCTATAACCTTTCCTTCTGGTTGTGCGACGACGTCCTTCTCCGGGGACCCAAAAAGCTCAAAGTCTTTGTATGCCTCTTGCGCCTTCGTGTAGGCAGAGTGTGAGCGGGACTGTGTGGCAGGGGTCGCCTTCTCATCAACTGACACGCTGAAGAAGTCGTCAATCACAAGGCCCTCAACTGCAGTTGAATCAAAAGAGGGTCTGTTTGCAACTAGATGAACATCCTCAGAAAGCAGTCCATACATTTGCAAGAGTCTGCTGCGCGCATCTGTTGCTATCTCAACCCCGCCATGATCTCCTTGGAGAACACTTTTGAAGCTGGCCCAAACTAAGCCCTCATTGACCTCAGGGCCAGCAGCAAGTCCAAGTCTATCACCGTGCCTCTCTCTGGAGTACTTCTTCCGCACGTCTGTGAGCAGAAAAGTCTGAAAGGCCTCTGTATCTTTGACCATCTCAACTGGCAACCCCGGTCCAAGGGTATTTGTAATTGCTCTGGCTCTCGTTGCCCAAAGCTGATGATAAAAGTCTCTACGGTCCGAGATGGACACACGCAGACGGTGAGTGCGAAGGTAAATGCTCAAATCACAAAGATCCTGGCCTTCAGGTAGGTTGCATGAAGGCCCTTGAAGCACACCCTCAACTGCGTTCCGGCCACGCGATCACCTATCTGCCTGTCTCTGTCAATGGCCTTGTAGCAGTTGAATACACGCACCAATTCACAGCTTCTTCGAGTTTGGAGCCTGGAGCGATGCAAAAGAAGAAGTCCCTGACTGTCCCAGAGTTTAGCCAGCTGTGCAATGGTTTCAGGTGGATCTCGGAGACGGGGATATTCCCAGGGTGCTGGATCTCTCTCGACCTTGATACTTTCAGGCTCACGATAAGCCATCACCAAACTATCGCAAAGGAACTCTGTCACGTCCCAATGGCCTCGCCCAAACAGGAAGAGGCGTGAAGGATCCAGGTCTCGATATGGTTCCAGCTCTGGGTACTGCGTATTGTCCTTGGCAACATCATAGCCTGTAAATACCCGAGAATAAGGCGACGCCGAACAGCCCAGCATTGTAAGCATAGACGTCAACTCATTCAACCTAGCAAAAAGCTCTGGATTCTTGCGGCCAACATGCAGAGAGTCAAATCCTGCAGTGAGGCCGTCCGACTTCACAAAAGCTCGAATCCTCTTGTACAAAGCACGATGAAGAGGGTTAGGAGCTCTCCACAAAGAATCCAAGTCCTGGAAGCTACCGCCAGAATGCCAAAAATTTAGGGCCATACAAATAATATGCACAGCTCTCGCAAGACCGGTGGCTCGTCTTCCTGAACTGGAGATTCCTGCAGGCATCCTGTCAAAACAGCCATCAACTGGCGGAGGGACAGGGAACAAAGCCGGTGAAGTAGAAGACCTTGGCAAAGGACCTCTGGAAATACGTATGGAGGAAGCAACAAAAGAAGCAAAGGCTGTACGTGATCTCAACACCAGTGTAGTCAGCTTCATACACCACAAAGGGTAGCTAACTCGTCTGATGACGCCGTGCTTAGACCCGCTCAACCCGTCCTTGGGACGGCTCGGAGGCTCCGACGTGAAGCTTCCTTTGCCGACCCCGGGACCGAAAGGGGAGCTCAGAGGCCTAGAGGGCAGACCACCATCACCAGTCGGCTCCGCGCACGTCGGATCAGGCGGCTCACCCAAAAGGTCCTTCTGAAGGTCACATGCACTCCAGCTTGTCTTCGAACTGGAGGTGAATTCTTTCCTCAGGGGCGTCATCTTCA